TAACTGCTCAAGGAAAAGATCTGGGTTTAGTTCCTAGCACCCTCTTCTGACCTCTAGGGGCATTGCACATACATGTAAATTTACATACATGCAGGCAAAACACTCAAACACATAAAAATAAGTCAAAAAAAAGGAAAAGCTATGTTAAAAGAAGAAACAATACTTCTCATCCTGTGTTTTGATGTTGTAACAGAATACCACAGCTGGGTAATTTTAAGCAACAGAGGTAACTTTGTATTAGGCTTGCTATTCTGGAGGCTGGGGAAGCTCAAGAGTATGTCTGTGGAGGCCTCTGTGCTTTGCCATAATATGGTGAAAAGACAAGCAAGCACCCATGAAACACGGGCTTATAAGGCTCCAAACTTCCACCAAACCTACTCCTTCCATAAATAACCACTCCTGTGATAATAGCATTAATTCATTCATGAGGGCATAGCTGTCAGACCTCTTAAAGTCCCCACCTCGTGATGGGTGGGAGTAGCAATTAAATCTCAACATGGGCTCTGGGGCGGGGGTGGTGGCATTCAAACCATTAGCCTCTAAGGAAAATAAAAGGTTTTACAAGACAGGGAATGTCATGATGTCTAGTTTTGTAGTAAAGAGCACTTACACAGTAAAAATACTATAAACACTATTAGCTGACACTTAGCTTTTAGAATAGTCAACCTTGATTATATTTTTTAAATAAATGTAATAATTATCAACTTCCATAGTAGCTTTAGAAGGTAGAAGTTAAAAAGAGAAGTAGAAGAATAAAGATAGTAATATCGGTGTAGATATTTGCTATAGTTAATAGCAAATAGGGTTATATTAATCAAAGTTCCAAAGAAGTGTTAAAGAAACTTAAAAACAGTGCTCTAACTCTATAGTTAGAATGGGCTAACTTGTCTCTTAATGTCTCTTAATGGTAGGAAGCCAACACATTATATTCAGTTTGATATATTAAGAAATGATTTGTGCAACAATGATAACTATCAGAACAGCTGAAAATAAACTTTTTGGCTTTTGAGAAAGGTCTCGTGTAGTCTAGCTGGCCTTGAACTCACCACTTAGCCAAGGCTGGCCTTGATCATCCTTCCTGGTCCTCTTTCACTTCCTAGTCCCCAAATGCTGTAGTTATAGGCAAGTGCCACCACACTCAACTATAAACAGACTTTGATTTCTTAAGACAGGGTCTCCCTGTAGCCTCAGCTACCCTGAAACTCACTGTGTAGACCTGGCTAGCCTCAAGCTCACAGAGATCCACCTGCTTCTGCCTTCTGAGTATTGGGATTAAAGGCATGCACCATGAAAGCCAGGCCCACAAACAGACTTTTAAAATAGTTACTATGGTAGTGATAGTAGTTTGGGAGATTGGACAGTTCTTTACTGTAAATTATTTTTTATTTGTGTGTGATGTGCATACCCTTGGGTAGTGTTCCTCAGATGTTGTCCACCTTTTCTCTCCCTCTCATTTTGTGTTTCTTTGTTTGAGACAGTGTCTCTCACTGGCCTAGAACTCAACCAATTAAGTTAAGTGGCCAACCAGAAAACTGCAGGGATCCACTTGTCTCCCCACCCCCTAGAACTGAGATTTCAATTAGATACCATCACACCCAGCCTCCTTAAGGTATGTTCTAGGGATGGAGCTCCTATGGTCATGCTTACAAGGCAAGCACTTCTATTGCATGTTTTTAACAGACATGTGGCATACATACATACAGAGAGACATACCCATACACATACATATAAATAAAAATAGTTTTTAGAAATTTGAAATTTTATTCTAATTTTTTTAAATTTATTATTTTTATTTTATGTGTATGAGTGTATTGCCTACATGTATGTAAATGCACGTGTGTCCTGCAATGCCAGCAGAGGTCAGAAAGGACATCAGTTTTCCCTGGAACTGGAGTTACAGATGGTTTTTAGCCACTATGTGGATGCTGGGAATTGAACCTGGGTCCTCTACAAGAGCAGCCAGTGCTCTTTAACTGCTGAGTCATCCCTTCAGCCCCTATTCTAATTCTTTTTTTTTTAAATTTTTTTTAATTTTGTGTATTAGTGTATTACTTACATGTATGTAATGCTTGTGGAGGTCAGAAGGGGGGTATCAAATCCCCTGGAACTGGAGTTGCAGGTGATTGTTAGCTGCCATGTGGGTGCTGGGAATCAAACCTGAGTCCTCTGCAAGAGTAGCCAGTGCTCTTAACCACTGAGCCATCTCTAAGCCACCCCCCATTCTAATTCTTAATAGCAATAAAATAATAATTTAGATTGTATTTTTGTGGATTTTTCTTCTGATACACCTTTTTTTAACTATATCTGGTTTTATTCCATTAGCTACAGTTTAGTAATAAATTAAATAATTAAAAACCTAGGGTTTCTTTGAAATAGTGATCTGTGTATTTAGGAATCTTAAAGCAAAATTGGCATATTTGGGGGAATTATCCATGTGTAAGACCTTGTTACCTGTGCGTGACAGTTTTTCTCTTCGCTTCCCAAGCTTTTTTTCTTAATTATAATGTCTGTGACCTCCAGTACAGTTTAAGTGGTGATAGAAATGTTTTGTTACTCATCTAGGCAGGAAACATTAGTTCTCAAATCTTTGAGCTTTCTGTTTGTAGATTTCTATAATAATGAGGTTTAGGAACTTCCCTTGTGTTTCTAGCTGACTGGGGTTTTTATTATGAATGAATGTTGAACTTAGCTGAATGGATTTTTTGGTATTTATTAAAATATTTATATGGCTTTCTCCATTATTTTGTTAACACTATAAAATTAATTGATTTCTGCATGGTAAAACAATCTTGAATTAATGGCATGAACTACATTTATGATTATTTTACTTTCATATTACTCAATTTTCATTTTTCATCCATGTTTGGATAATAGAGATTCTGGTTTCCAGTTCTCTTTTCTTGATCTGTCCTTGACTATGTTTGGATTCATGTAACATTGACTGTAATATATGATTTAGGAAGTGTCCTTTTTTTTGTTCTCTATTTCTAAAAGATTCTAGGTAAGATTGTTGTTATTTCTTCATAAAGAACTCACCAGTGGCTGGATATGTTGGTGTACACTTATAGTCAGGAATTTGTGACCAGCCACAGCTACATACTGACTTCTACCCATCTTGAGCTATGAGACCCTGTCTTAAAGAATAAACAAAATGAAACAAAGCTCTTAAAACTTAACAAAACCTATCAACACCCTAAGTAAAGAACAACTTCTAATAAGGTTTATTTTACCAGTCACCAGTCATTAATCAGGAAAGTTTGAATTCCTAGTTAAGTATAATTTATATATTAAAGCCATAAAAAGTGATATATTTAGATATTAGTCAGGGTTTTGGCAACATATCCTTAAAAATTAAGAGTCATGACCTGAAGAACAATACAGTTATCCTGAGTTCTGACTGAGCACAGTAAATACCAACTGAATTCATGTCATTGGAAGGATGTAGTTGTCTTTTTCTTTTCTTAAAATCAGTGAATTGAATAAGAATAGATTTGCATAGAAAAACCAAAACGATCTGAATGAGTTAGAACAAGGCATCTCTTTAGTCAGATAACTCTTAGTGAAATGTAGGTGTGAACTTTCTTCCTTTACAGCCCTCCAATAGAAAATTCAGCAAATCAGTTTCTTCCTTAAATCCTATCACTTTGCCAGATGCTCAGGTTCCTTGGTGTAAAACAGCATAATGTTGTATGTAACCTATATGTATCCCTTTATGTACTTTAAATCATCTTTAGATTACTTACAATAATTGTTGTAGTATGTTGTTTAAGGAATAGTGATGAACAGTCTACACAATCAGTACAGACACAATTTTTTTCTGAATAGTTTGATGCATTGTTGGTGGAAAGTAGAAGTACAACTACAGCACACAGTGTAAAGCACGTTGAATACAAGCTCTAACAGTAGTTTTGGACAGTATGACTGGGAGTGGTTTTCTTTTGATTTTGCTTATTTGCAAATTTTCTGCTACAAATGTGGTTCTTTAATAAGGTGTTGGATACACTGTGTTTAGGTTTTTAGAAATTTTTTTTGGCAATTTCATTCATGTATATCCTGATCATATCCAACCTAAATCCCCCTCTTCCAATACTGTAATGGCCCTCCATACTTCTCTCTCCCATTCTGATATCTTCTTAATTTTTAAAAATCATTGAGAATTTCATACATGTATACAATGAATTTCAGTCATATCTACCTCCTGCTACCCTCCCCAACACATTTCCCCCCTAACTTTATGCCCCCTCTTTTTAAAATAACTTACTGTGAGTCCAGCTAGTGCTTCCCATAGGGCATGGGGGTGAGGCTATCCACTGGAGCATGGAAAACCTACCACTGGCCACACACCCAAAGGAAAATGACTCTCCCCTAAGCAGCTATTAGCTGCCAGTACCTCCTCAGCTAGCCCCCCACCTCAGCATGACCCCCTTTCTAACTTTCATGTCCTTTCTCTCTTTTAAAAAAAGTTATAGCCAAGTGTGGTGGTATGAAGCATTTGGGAGGCAGAGGCAGGTGGAGCTCTGTGAGATTGAGGCCAGTGCAGTCTGCATAGTGAGTGCCAGGTCAACTGGGGCTATAGGGAGACCTTGTCTCAAAAAGAAAAAATAAATAAATAAATAAAAAGATTTATTTATGTATGTGTATGTGTGCCTACATGATTTATAGTCAGTTCTGAGCCACCATGTCGGTGATGGGAACTGAACCCAGGTCCTCTACAAGAGCAATATGTGCTCTTAACCAGTGAACTATCTTTCTCCCCTCCCCCATTTTTTACATAACCCACTGAGTCTAATTAGTGCTGCCTGTGTGTTTATGATTATGAGACTAGCCACTGGACATGACAACTTACCTACTTTTTTATGACTACATTTAAGTCATCATAGTCTGAAAGTATGTTGTTCTAATTATCTGTAATTATAGTCAATGTTTCAAAAGTTACAGCTAATTGTATTCTCAGTGTATTACAGTCATCTCACCATTTCATTTTTTACCCTTTATTAAAGGTTGAATTAATAAAAGGGAATTTGCAAAGTGTTGGACTCACACTTCGTCTTGTTCAGTCAACTGATGGGTATGCTGGGCATGTCATAATTGAAACCGTGGCCCCAAACTCACCTGCTGCTATTGCAGATCTGCAGCGGGGAGATCGGCTCATTGCTATTGGAGGTAATTATGCTACTGTGTGGTATAATTTATGTGTACAGAGAATTATGTGTACAAAGTCATGTTTTTCTCTTCCTTTTCCCCTGTTTCTGAAATGAGCATCTGTTAGTTTTGTAACAGAAAGAAACAAACTTTACTATGAATAAGTGTAGAATGCTTTTAAAACATGCATGCCATTTTAGTCTTCATTTTTAAAATCTCGAATGTAGTACATCTTTAAACCACTTTAATAAAACTTCCCTGCTTTTCTTTCCCTTCCCACCTTCTGCTCCTCTATTTTTATTATTTAATGTAAATATAAGGCCAAGTAAACAATCACCTTTCTTGTACAATCACCATCACCACTGTTAGCCTAAATGTGGTATTAGCACTATTCCCATCACGGAGAACCAGAAAATGAACGGGAGGAAATAGTGTTCCTATCTAAGAGGGTACACTTGCACTTATACATGATGGAAATGGTCAATGATTTGTCAGTATGCTGTTATTTAGAATTCATTCCAAATCACTGTGCAAAAACACATCACCTGCATGCTACATACCTTCCTTCCAACTGGATTATTGTAAATGAAAACAAAAGCTGAGGCAGGTTATTTGCTTGGGTGTGTATGGCTGACTGCAGAACCCTGCTGTGCACAGCAGTGCAGAAAAAGTCCAAGCCTTTCAAGCTCTTAGTACCTGGTCCACCTATTATATGTTTTGAACACCTGACTGGCCATAATTGATCTTTTAAGGATCTTTAATTGATCTTTCAAAGCTAAGATGGTAAGATAGAACAATTCCCAGATCAAAAAGTAGCTGTCCTTGGTTATGCTAGAAAATGTTTATCTTGGATTCAATTGCACCCCAGTATTCAGATGATTTCATTGTGTACCTGGGGACCAGTTAGGTTAGTATTTTCACATGGAAATCCTTCTGCCCATGGCATAAACCATGCCTTTCACACTTTTCTTGTGTATTCCAGTCACCCAGCCATGGTATTCAAAAGTACATTCTGATTCAAAGCCTGGGGTGGGGCCTAAGAATCCACATTTCTAATAAGCTCCCCAGATAATGCTGGTACTACTAGTTCATAGACACTTAGGAGGATGTAAAGTAGACTTCCTCCATTACATAGCTATAGTCATAAACAAAGTTTCTTTCCCTCAGCTAAACCCTCAATTAAATATAAATGGTTTAGTATTCACACATACCTTTTGGTCTTAAACCTACAGGTTAAAAATTATGTTAAAAATTTTTTAACTTAAATATCCCTTTTATATTTTGTTTCCAATTATATAAGTAGCAAGTCTGTTATCCAAAATAAAGAAGTCCAAGCCATACAAATGTTTGCAAAAAAAAGCAAAAGTTATCTTTTCAAGACATCTAACATTGAACAAGTACTAGAAATCATATAAAATATATT